CGTCCACAACAGCCTCCAACAATCCCTTCCCCACCCGTCGCTGAGGCCCGATCCACAAGCTACTCCACCCTCTACATTCGGGCTGCCACCGACCGAACAGACAAGATACCCACAGCTCAGCGACGCAACGCCGGCAAACGACCACCTGCCTCCATGGAAGCCACGCCCGCAGGGCCAACCGCGACTTCTATTAGGGATCTAGATCAGCGACTTCGCGAACAACTGCAGACTCAATGAGGACTTAAGAATGGCAGTCAATCCCACCAACAAACACCTTAACTCCCTAGTGCTAGACCCGACTACAAGGATGCACGAAATGGCTAAACAGGCCGTGCTTACCGTCTGACGATGGCTATGCTCATGTCACGGCTACGGGGGCAACATGAAGTACGACTGGGCCGTTCGCATTAACGACCCAGCACATCTACTGCAACATATAGACAACCGAACTTACGAACATGACGACGACCACATCAGGCTACAAACGCTAACGAACTCCTACTCCAACGACGGCACCATCGACGACGCACCACCACTTCCCAGCACCAGCCAGCCAATACTAAAGACCAACCAACAACATCGACCAACCTACATCAACCAACCAACTACAACCAGCCAGCAAACACGGACACACCAAACCAGCCAGCACCAGAAACCAACCTCATTACGATCCAGCAGTCCAGTACCACGCAGAGGATCAGATATCCAATTCGCCTCAGAATCCCCGTAATCTGCCCACTATCAGAGGCTGTCAGGGCTCAGCGCTGGATAACTAAAAAACCCACATCAGAGCTAGCAATTCGAACACTCGCCACAAGACAGATCTACTCCCCCCCTTACGCCACCTCCAATACAATTCCAAGGCGGACAGGTGGGAGCCACCCCAAATGGCTTCACACACGGCGCACCCTGGAGTAATTCTCGTCCACGACAACAATAACCAGCGGCTTTTGGACTGCATCGAGACAATGCGTAACCACCATATGCAATACCAGCAGTATCTGGCAGGAACATCACAGCGCAGCCTACGCCAAGCATAACTGCGACAACAACGATACATACCCACTGCCATGGCAGCGCCAACCATGCCGAAGCCGAAGTTCCCAGTACCAGAACACAAGGCGCCACCTACAACGCCACTGTTCCCAATACCTGCGCACAAGGCGTCACCTACCGCGAAACCAAGGTTGCCAACGAAACTGGCTGACTGCAGCCCTTACTAGGGATTCTGGACATACCGCAGAAAGAGGATTTCCGAAGGCTCCGCGCGCCTATTTGACCTTCTAATGTGTTGGTACTAAGGCTCCTCCTGCTTTCGTCGGTCGATGGTCTTTCCTTCTCCTCCCTCTTTTCCCGCTCAATTTGCCCCTGTGGGCTTCTCCTTCTCCCTCGGGGCAAGTGCCTCACTGACTGATGGTGAAGGCCAAGGCCCTGTTCTTCCGCTCGCGGAGACATAAGACTTCGACACTCGCCTCTCTCGGTGTGTTATCCCCCCTGCTCTCCATTTTCTCCCCCGCCGTTGCTGCCTGCTGAAGAGCCGCAACGGGTACACTCTACCTCCAGCAACCATTGCGTTGGCACTCACAGCTTTCAGGCCCTCACAATGCCAGTCCTCCCTTACCTTGCAGGCATCATGCGCATTGCGTCACAACCATTTTGGCGCCATCGCGCCCTAACTGTCACTGTTAGGGTCAGACAGCGCCAACCATTTGGCAGCACTCGAGGGTGGGCCTGGGATGGGTTTTGGGAGCTTGGATAGTGGGGGCCGGGGGGACGGATGGGCTGCTTGCTTCTGTATTTCAGCAGGCATCTCAGCCTACCTTAAAACTTCTCATCAACACAACATCCAGCCGCCGTGCTTCAACTCTGATCTGTGTTTTCAGCATCCAGCAACCGTACTACATACAGCTCTGGTCTTCTCTTTTGCTAGCACTCCAGCCTACTCAAAACTACTATCTCGCCTCAGTGTGTCTACTGAAGTCCCAGCTCAGACGGTGCATTTCAGGCCCCACTGTACAGGGTGTGGCCCCACAGTTTAGACTGGCCGTACCTTCACCACTCTTTTAGTCAGCTTGCTGTCATGTCTCTGGAGTTGGATGTGTTGCGGGTAGAGGAGGTGGAGGAGGAGTTCACACTGACAAACGCGATGGGCCAATCCAGGCCAGCTTTTAAACGTGGCCAGCCAGTACGTCTGCGCCAGACACACCACTCAGATGGACCGACTGCTTACCAGCTCGCTCAGACACGTTCGCCAGCCAGCAGCATACACGTGCATCTCTCTCGCGACAGTCGTCCATCTTTTTTTCCCAACCATCCTGTGGTGTTGGGTCGTCGTTTTGAAGAAAAAACGATCCCCGCGTCTCCTTCTCCTCCTCCCGTGCCCCCCCCAATGGGGGTACCACATGCGTTTGCTGCCACACCCAATACAGCGTTTCGTGGCCCCATAGGGAGCTCCACGTAAGGCCCCAAGTGGGGGGTACCACATGCGTCTGCCACGCCCAGTACAGCGTTTCGTGGCCCCATTGGGAGCTCCACGTTAGGCCCCGGTGGGGGGTACCACATGCGTCCGCCACACCCAGTACAACGTTTCGGGGCCCCATAGGGAGCTCCACTTAAGGCCTCAATGGGGGTACCACATGCGTCCGCCACACCCAGTACACGTTTCGTGGCCCCATAGGGAGCTCCACTTAAGGCCCCAATTGGGGTACCACCACACGCAGTACAAGGCCCCAGTGGGTTACCACATGCGTCCACAACATCCAGTACAGCGCTTGGTGGCCCCATAGGGAGCTCCACGCAAAGCCTCAGTGGGGGTACCACATGCGTCCGCCACACCCACTACAACGTTTCGTGGCCCCATAGGGAGCTCCACCGAAGGCCCCAGTGGGGGTGGCCACATGCGTCCGCCACACTCAGTACAACGTTTCGTGGCCTCATAGGGAGCTCTACCGGAGGCCCCAGCAGGGGTGGCAACATGCGTCCGCCACACCCAGTTCAGCGTTTTGTGCCCAATGTGACCGTCCGATTTGGCATCTTCACGCGCCCAATACAGCGTTTCGTGGCCCTACAGGGAGCTTCACCGAAGCCACCAAAGGGACCGCCCGCATGCGCCCCGCACGTGCAATTTGACATTTTCACCCACCCAGTACAGCGTTTCGTGCCCCCGTAGGGAGCTCCAACGAAACCCACAGTGGGACCGCCCACATGCGTCCCACTCGCCCAATTTGGCAGTTTCACCCACCCAGTACAACGTTTCGTGGCCCGTTAGGCCCACCGAACCCCCCAGTGGGACCGTCTGCATGCGTCCCGCACATCCAATTTGGCGTGTTCACCCACCCAATATAACGCTTCGTGGCCCCATTCGGAGCTCCACCGAAGCCTCCACAATGGGACCGTCCGCAGGGGGGGATTCCCGATTTCGAAGCCCTGGGGATTATGGGGGGGAGAATGTCACACGCCTAGGGACCCACAATTGGTCGGCGGATTCGATTTCCCGATCAATCTGGCGTTTTCGCCTACAAAGTGCAGCGTTTCGTGGTCCCAAGGCCAGTTTGGCATTTTCACCCACCCAGTGCAACGCTTCGTGGCCCCATAGGGAGCTCCACCGAAGCCCCCAAAAAGACTGCCCGCATGCGTCCCGGAAAGCCAATGTGGCATTTTCACCCACCCAGTACAACGTTTCGTGGCCCCATAGGGAGCTCCACCGACGGCCCCAGTGCCACCGCCCGCATGCGTTCCCCCCCACCCAGTGCAGCGCTTCGTGGCCCCAGAGGGAGCTTCACCGAAGAAAATATTCACATTTGCGGTACCCACAACTGCACATGGTTTGGTCCTTCGCCAGGATTAATATGCAAACCGCCCATGTCACCTACAGTCTCTCTCTCTCTCTCTCTCTCCCTCTCTCTCTCTCTCTCTCTCTCTCTCTCTCTCTTCTGCCTAGTTACAACCATACCATTATGCATATGCCGATAACATGCACTCGAGATGGGGGACGGGACTTGACTGTGGATGGGTTGGTAGTGGTGAATGTGGGATTGGGATCTGCCCGGCCATGTTGGCCTTCGGCGGAGGGGCTTCTGCCCTCCTGTGGGCCGCCGTGCTCTGACCTCCCACCTTTCACCTCAGCGTTTTTACCTCAGCTGCAGATGGCCCTCACATTTGCAGCTCTGCATGCCAGTTCGGCCTGCTCACATTCGCCCATGCTTCGCCCCACGCTTTTACTTCAACATCACAGGCAGGCCTACGGAGCGCCAGCCTCAGAAAAACATATGTAGTTACAGGATCTACTTCCAAGGGGGGAACAAGAGCCACAAGGTGTCCACAGTAACGGGGCCATCCCCCTTATGAACTAGAACGGTAAAAAGGCCCCCCCCCCCAAGCCGCCGAACAGACACGGGTAGCAGCCCAAGCATTGCAATCTTTTACTCCGCTGCAAGGCTAGCCAGCACAGTCGATGCCAGCCCAAACACACTTTGCCAACATCTGTACGCTCTCTTTTGCACCTACTCCTAGTATTGCACGCCTATCCTACCTTGACACGGCTTGCCTGGATAGACCAAGGGGATTGGGGGTATTTGTCATATGAGGGTGGAAACCAAGGTAACCCCAAGAACGGCATCATTCCGCGAGTCGCCTGATTTTTTGCACGCGTATATCGACCTGTCCTCACTCAGTGTCCCCCTTAGATCTCGGTCATCATCTTTCTCATCGTCACTCTTGTGCCCCTCAGGTACCTTCCCCAGTGCAGGTGGCGGGCGCTTACTCTGTGCCGTTTGGCCTCTTCCTGCTGCCTTTCCTTTTTTGCCTGCTTTTGCCCGCAGCGCCCGCCGCCTGCCTAGTTTGTTTTCTTCCTCGCTTAAATTGGCGATTATTTTTGTAAGTTATTTATAACGTAATGATCTTCGATTCATGTTTGCGCAGCGTCAAAAAGGAGGAGAAGGAGGAAGAGGGACGCGGGGGACGGATGCCCGATGCCATAGTGCAAGCGCGGTGCAGAGGGCCTTCGCTCTGATCACGTCGTCCGCGCGCAGGCCGGCGTCTCTGGCCTGCAGGCTGCCCACCGTCGACTCCAGCTTCTCGAGCCTCGGCCAGAGGTGGATCTGAGAGGGAGCCTGGTAGTTGGAGGTCTCCCAAGTTGGGCCCGAGTAAATGGGGTCGGACGATCGCGCCACATCGTTGGCGTGGAGAACAAGGGGCTCCACATCGAGCCGCATCGCCGATGCATCGGCGATGCGACGCGATCCTCCGACTCCATCTATTTGGATCCAATTTGGGAGGCCTGGAGTAGTGGATCCAGATCTCGAGCACGCTGGGGATGTCACTTGCTTGCAGCGTTTTTAGCCCTCTTCGGGTCTCTGGGAGGGTCCTTGTTGCCACGTCTGGATCCGCCTCGATATTCTCACCGCACCGCGCCCCAGGATAAGTCCAGGGGCGGATGTTGCCCCGTGGATGAGCTGGACATGGACCTTTGCAATTTTCGGAGCATGGAGGCCGCTCCCGGGTGCTGGGACCGTCAAAGACGGCTCATGACGAGCAGCTGGTCCGGGCGAAAGGTTGGAGAGCTTCAGGGGCCGTCGACTCGGGAACATCGACTCGTCGGACGTATGAGGATCCAGCTGCGAGCCCGACGCGCGAGTCACAGGGGAGAGCCTCAGGGGGGGGAGGGGTGGGGACGGGGGACCCAAAGATCCGATGTCTCCATTGTCTTTCGATACGGGGTCCCAAGAAGTCCCAGCCCTTTCCCCAGGGCCCGTTTTTCAGCCCCAATCGTTTTTGGACAGTCCCGTGGCCAGGTGAGGCAAAAACCGTACGTTTTTCAAAAGCGTCATGGGTCTGGGGGGGCTGTAGGATGGGGAAGCGGAAGGCGGACCGGCAGGGGGGAGGAAGGGGACGTGTGGAGAGGGGAGGGGAGGGGAACGGAGAGAGCGCGGGGGAGAGAGAGACAGAGAGGGGAGGAGAGGGGACGTGAGGAGAGGGGAGGGGAGGGCAACGCAGAGAGAGACAGAGAGAGAGAGAGAGAGAGAGAGAGAGCGAGGAAAAGAGAGAGAGAGAGAGAGAGAGAGAGGGGAAGGAGAGAGGGGAGGAGAGGCGGCCGACCGCGACGACAGCGAGGACCCCCCTGCCCGGACATCGCGACTCCGCAGACAGGGGCCTTTGCTCCACGTGCCGCGCCGCCACCTGCGTCTCCTGGCCCACACGCCGGCGCGGCGCGGCACGCCGTCGGCACGGAGCGTCTCCGGGCCTCCTCTGAAAGCGCGTCGCCTGGAAGTTAGCTTGCCGCCCTCGTCCAAGTGGCCGTCTGCTAGCCAGGCCAGCCAAGCATGTCCTGAGCAGCCCATCCTCTGATATCAGCAGTGCATGGGGACTCGAGCGCTTCGGATGCAGCCTCGGGGGGAGCACGCCCTCAGCTCTCGAGGCGTGGTGTGCCGCACAGGCTGCCGCCGCGATGCGCCGGTTCAAGCAAACGTTTCCCCTGCCGCGTATTTCTCCCGCGGCCCCGCGGCGGAAGACCCGAGGGAGGGGGCACTGGCCCAGAGACGGACCCCAACCCCCGACGCCCCCTGAGGTCCGACGTTGCGACGAAACAGCTGCAACATCGCGACCAGATCACGACTGGAGACCTCATATCGTCTGCGGCATTTTTCGTCCAAGATCTCGATCAATGAAGGCCCTGGGGGTCCTTTAGTCTGGCGCAAACGCCCAGCGTGAAGACATTGCAACGCCCAGATGTCAGGGTCATGACTTTTTCGCAGCGTGGCCCCCTCGAGGCCTGGAACATTTCCTGGGACTGGCCATTTTTGGCGGTCCCGAGGCCCGGAACGGGCCTGTAGAGGTAACAAAAAGGACGACAGACCTGCCGCCTCGACTTCTCCGAGGCGGCGGAGGTCTGGCTGGGAGGAGGGGGAGGCGTATGATGATGCTGCTGATGATGATGCTGATGATGATAATGATACTGATTATGATTATGATGATGCTGATGATGATGGTGATGATGATGATGATGATGATGATGATGATGATGAGGATCATCATGGTAGTGATGATGCTGATGATGATGGTAATGATGCTAATGAAGATGATGATGGTGCTGCTGATGATGACGACTCTGTTGATGATGCTGATGATGAAGCTGTTGAAATTGATGATGTCAATAATGATGATGATGATGTTGATGATGCTGATGATAATGATGATGGTAATGGTGATGGTGATGGTGATGATGATGATGATGATGATGATGATGATGACGTTTATGCTAATGCTGGTGATGACGACGACGATGATGATGATGACGATGATGCTGATGATGCTGATGATATTGAGGACGCTGCTGACAATGAGGATGATACTGATGATGATGCTGCTGCTGATGATGATGATGATGATGCTGATGATGCTGATGATATTGAGGACGCTGCTGACAATGAGGATGATACTGATGATGATGCTGCTGATGATGATGAGGATGATGGTGGTGGTAATGATGATGGTGATGCTGCTGCTGTTGACGATGCTGATGGTGATGCTGCTGCTGCTGCTGATGATGATGATGATGAGGAGGCGGAGGAGGAGGAGGAGGAGGAGGAGAAGGATGAGGTGAGGAGGGGGATGAGGAGGGGAAGGAAGAGAGGGAGGAGGGGGAGGGTGGTGAGGAGGATGGGAACGAGGGCTGCTGCTGATGCTGCTGCTGATGATGATGCGGATGGCGATGCTGATACCGATGCTGATGACGATGCCGATGCTCATGATGATGCTGCTGCTGATGATGATAATGATGATGATGATGATGCTGCTGATGATGATGACGATTATGCGGCTGCTGATGTTGATGCTGATGCTGATGATACTGATAATGCTGATTGTGATGATGACGATGCGGATGATGATGCTGATGATGATGGCGACAGCGATGATGATGATACTGCTGCTGCTGCTGCTGATGCTGATGCTGCTGCTGTTACTGTTGCTGCTGATGATGATGCTGCTGCTGATGATGAGGGTGATGATGATGATGACGACGATGATGATAATGATGATGATGATGATGATGATGATGATGATGATGATGATGATGATGATGATGATGATGATGATGATGATGATGATGATGACGAGGATGATGATGATGATTAGGAGGATGATGAGGAGGACGAGGAGGAGGAGGAGGAACAGAAGGAGAAGTAGGAGGAGGAGGAGGAAGAGGAGGGGGATGAGGAGGTGGTGAGGTCTGGGAGGAGGGGGGTGAGGAGGAGGAGGAGGAGGAGGGGGGTGAGGAGGAGGAGGAGGAGGAGGAGGAGGAGGAGGGAGAGGAGGAGGAGGAGGAGGAGGAGGAGGAGAAGGAGGAGGGGGAGGAGGAAGAGGAGGAGGAGAAGGCGGAGGAGGAGGAGGAGGAAGAGGAGGAGGAGGAGGAGGAAGAGGAGGATGAGGAGGAGGAAGAGGAGGAGCAGAAGGAGGATGAAGCCGCAGCCTCTCGCAGGGAAGACCTCTCCGCCCAGTCCCCCCGAAGTGGCGGGGGAGTCCCGCAGGAGGGCGGCTGGCTAAGCGTGGCACCCGGCCGGATCGCGTCAAGGCGCTGGGCGACAGCGCCTGCGCCCACGGCCGTGGCGCCCGCAACACCACGCCGATTATCGAGACGCATTCGGGTGGCGGGCTCCCCAGGCTCGCCCCTAGGCCTCCCTGTGCAGGGACGGCTTTGCACCAGGCCAGCGTCTGCCTCGGCTATGGCGCGGCCGCCCAATCAGAACTAAGGACTGGGCCGAGGTGACCGCCATCCTCATTTACCGCCTCGGCGGCAGGAACCGCGACGACAAGTGCAACACCATCGAGATTACTGGCACCAGTCCAGCCCCGGCAGCGCCGCCAGGATGCTGGATCGACACGGCCGTTGCCGCCCTCAACCCGACGTCCAGGTCGTCCAGCTGAAGTCACGATCAGCACCGCTATCCCTGAGATGTTATTAGATGCCTTCGCGCACAACTGCCACCACGAGCAGCGCTGCGAGCTGCCGAATTTCAGCTCCTACTTCTTCTTCAACTACACACACCAGCCAGACCGCCAGCTTCGTCACTAGCGCCGCCGGCGACTCCGACGAAACCGAGGAGACCGACGAGCTCTGGAGGCTGGAGGTGCACGAGGATGAGGGTCTGACTCCCTGCCCCGCCGCCGCAGCCGCTCCCCCCGCAGCAGGAGGAGGGTAGCCGGCTGCTGGCAGGAGCGACGCCTCGCTTTCGACTGCCTCAGAGGGACCTCCCTCCCTTTTTGCCCTCTCGGGCGCTCCGCCCCAGAACAGACCTGGGCATTAGCCCAACATATTCGACAAGATAAGATGGGACCCTCCCCCTCGGAATGCCCTCGGTGGCCCCTCTCACTTGACCCTTCGGGCTATGTCACCGAGGACCCCTCCCCCGTCGCCACGGCTGGGCTCGCCTCTTGCAGCCGTATGCATCACATGGGAGAGCAGCCAGACTCCACCGACCATTCGAAGACCGTGGCGCCTCTTCGAGGACAACTTTGAGGACCAGCTCGAGGACCTGGAGGACCAGTCTGAGGACCCAGGGGATCAGCTCGCGGCCGAGGCTGCCCTGGAGGACTTGCGCGAGCGCCTTGCCATCGTCCAGCAGAAGGGCGCGCGCACCGTATTCCATCAGCTCTCGCAAAACGTGCAGCGCCCGTACGTGGACGTGACCCTCGTCGAAGTCGCCGCCTTCATGAAATTCAAGCGCCAGTATGCGACAGGCGACGCGGCCAAAGAGGACGCGGCTGCTGCAGCTTGGCACGACTTCGACCACCAAGAAATGGCGGAGTGGGCCCCCGAACACCCACTGGAAGAGCTCGCTGCGGACCCGCACCGGGCGACGCTCCTCAGTGCCACCGCCTCCAAAAACCAGCCGTGAATGGCACTCTCCCAACCTTCCGCTCCGGTCCTGCCCGCCTGCTTTTCCCTTCCTGTTCCTGTTTTCCCTCCTCATTATTCTCTTTCCCTCTCATGTGGGTCGGGGAGGGTTGAGTCGAACTCTGAACCAGAATAGCTGGCCACAGCCTTGCAGCGCGACCCGCCTAGCGATTGATCCAACAGGACAATCGTTCGCATTCCCACTGCGCACTCACTTCTGCCAGTGCCATCCCCTGACTCGTTTTGCTCTTCTCCATCCCCCACTGCGCTCTGGGCGACAACCATTGTTGGCTATCTCAGAAGTGGAGTCCACCCCGGCTTTTGCTGTCGAGCATCCGCCTTGCACTTCTTCCGATCAGCGGGAGGCGCCACTTTGGTCTGGGAGGGGGGGAAGATCCGCGACGAGCTTTGAACCACGGGTGCAGCTATGCCAGTGTGACACGGCCATTGCCTCACTGAGGGCTGCGACACTCCACCAACCCCAGTCAGACGTTGCATCGCCATGCTCGTTCAGCTCACGTTTGATCCCCTTGGCGCCCCTGTCCTCCCTCGCCTCACTGATTGCGCCACCCTTGCCATCCACCTTTCGTTCAGAAGCGTCGCAACAAGAGCAGCAGCAACAGGAGCAGCTTTTTCTTGGAGGAGCAGGAGATGGGGGTGGACAGAGCTAGTATGCGCCTTGTGGTCAACAGCAGCGGGAGCGGACAAATCCTGCTCCCCACTGGAAGTCAGACGGAAACGCAACGGGGCCACCTGTGACAATTACTGCCGGGGCGAGCGGCGGAGGAGGAGGAGGAGGCGAAGGAGAGGGGGAACCGGAGGGAGGGCAAACAGCAAACAAAGCACTGGAATCATCGCCCGACTGCCTGTCAGCCTGGGCGCCCACATGACTTGGCCGTGCGATCGCCGAAAGAACACTTACACCGTTTCGACCCAAACAGGGCGGAAGAGGGGACGAGGGGAGGGAGAGCAGGAGCGAAAGGGCAGGAGTGCAGTGGAATTGTGCTTGAAACTCGAATTAAGCTATGATGTCACCTTCGGCGGGAGCATCGTCGACCTTGGAACGAAACTGATACAAAAAGGTCGAGCCTGCGAGGTGGCCCCAACCACGACGCCAAGCCAAATGGCGACGGAAAGTATAATAGGAAACCGCGATAAGGGAGAAATGGACTGAAATAGCCAACATTACCGCGTCAAGCAAACGACCGAGAGAGAGGAGGAGGAAGAGGAGGAGGAAGAGGAGGAGGAGGAGGAGAAGAAGGAGGAGGAGGAGGAGGAGGAGGAGGAGGAGGAGGCGGAGGAGGAGGAGGAGGCGGGAGAGAAGAGGGACCAGACTAAGACGCAACACCAGCACTCTGGAGGGCCAGGCTGCCGCGTTCCTGGGGCCACGCCGCGCGCCGCCACAGCGTGGGGCGGCGGTGCGGTGCGGCACCGGGCTGCACTCGATGAGGGGGCGGGGAGGGCCGCCAACGGTTCGTGGCGGCCTGGGTCGAGGGAGAGGGCCGTGCCGGCACCTGCCCGCGCAGGTCCGCCCACCACTTCGGCTTCTCTTCGTTTGCCATCCACTCTTCCACAGGGGCCTTCAAGCTCCCGGAAGACTCGCTGGGAACCCGAGAGGGCGAAAATGTTTTTGTTCGCCCGATCCTGCGCAGCAGCGACAGTAGCAGCTGTCCCAAAACACACACAGCTGTCTCCAGCCGCACAGCTGCGAGAAGCGTCGCGGGGAAAGCCCCTGCCGCAGAAGGGTCAAACCTCCCCCACGCTCGATGGACCCCCCCAAGGTGGTCCCCAGGTTAGAGTTCTAGGAATCTTTTGCCTGCTTGCAGGTGAGCGTCCCCGACGTACACGTCGTTCATGTCTAATCGTGCTCGTTTCTAATTGTGCTCGTTTCTACTTGTTCCTGGCCCCCTAGTGGCCACGAAGAGGTCCAGGACAGAACAATTAGGAATGACAGGATCTTGCCCCCCCCAAAATCAAGCAACTTCCGAATAAGTAGAAATCAACAATGTGTAGGTCTGGGGGGTGCCTGTGTGGGGGTCTCTACGAGCAGGGGGGGGAGGAGGTCTTTGCACCTCTCGCCCTGGCGAGAGCGGCCCCCTTGCCGCCGCCGCCGCGCCCTCTCCTTCCTCCTCCCTCGAGTGATGATCGGTCTCCTGCTCGTTTTCTCGCTGCCGTCTGCTGTCCTTTACCTTCGGGGGTCTGCTGACCCGGGTCAGCAGGAAACCCCAAAAGGTGCCACGCAGGAACAAAAACAACAACTGCAGCGCAGGGCTTCGCAGACCTGCGCCAACCAATAGGCGCGGCCGCCTCGCGGCCACGAGCGGCTCGCTGAGCCGGGTCAGCCAGAGGGGGTTTTCGCAGGATTCTGCAGGATCATGCCGTTGGCATTGACCCTCGTCTCTTAAGCTCCGACAGCTCTCTCTCTCTGCCCAATCTGGCGACCCCTGGAGCGAGCGCTCCACGACTCGCCTGGCTCTGAGTTCGATCCGCCCCGCAGGGCCGACCCACCGTTGGGGGGGGGAAGGGCAGCAGCTGCAGGGACCGCCTGCCATCAGGAACCGGGAGCCAGGAGGATGAGGAAGAGGAGGATGAGGATGAAGAGATGGAGGATGAGGAGGAGGAGGAGGAGAAGGAGGAGGAGGAGGAGAAGGAGGAGGAGCAGGACGAGGAGGAGGATGATGATGAGGAGGAGGATAAGGATGAGGATGAGGAGGAGGATGAGGAAGAGGAGGAGAAGGGGAAGGAGGAGGAGGAGGAGGAGGAAGAGGAGGAGAAGGAGGAGGAGGAAGAGGAATAGTTAGAGGAGGAGGAGGTGGAGGAGGAGGAGGAGGAGGAGGAGGAGAAGAGGAAGGAGGAGGAGGAGAGGAGGAGGGGAGGAGGAGGAGGAGGAGGAGGAGGAGGAGGAGAAGGGGAGGAGAAGGAGAGGAGGAGGAGGAGGAGGAGGAGGAGGAGGAGTAGGAGGAGGGGAAGAGGAGGAGGAGGATGAGGAGGAGAAGGGGGAGGAGGAGGAGGAGGAGGGGGAGGAGGAGGAGGAAGAGGAAGAGGAGTGCAGAGTGCGGAGTGCAGAGTGCGGGAGGAGGAGGAGGAGGGAGCAGGAGGTTGAGGAGGAGGAGGAGGAGAAGGAGGATCAGGATGAGGATGAGGATGAGGAGGATGAGATTGGGGAGAAGGAGGAAGAGGAGGAGGAAGAGGAGAAGGGAGAGGAAGAGGAAGAGTTCGAGGAGGAGGAGGAGGAGGAGTAGGAGGAGGAGGAGGAGGAGTCCGGAGTGCTGAGTGCGGAGTGCGGAGGAGGAGGAGGGAAGAAGTGAGGAGGAGGAGGAGAAGGAGGAGGAGGAAAAGAAGAAGGAGGAGGATAAGGATGAGGATGAGGATGAGGAGGAGGAGGAGGAGGTTGAGGATGAGGATGAGGAAGAGGAGGAGGAAGAAGAGGAGGAAGATGACGAGGAACAGGAAGAGGAGGAGGAGGAGGAGGAGGAGGAAGAGGAGTGCGGAATGCGGAATGCGGAGTGCGGAGGAGGAGGAGGAGGAGGGAGGAGGGAGGAGGAGGAGCAGGAAGAGGAGGAGGAGGATGACCAGTGTAAACCCAAGAGTAATCAACGATGTTCGAATAACCCTTCCTCCAAGCTCCCTCTTCATAGGCCCCTACAACGGTACATTTCCATTGAAAGAACTGCCTCGTTGGAAGACAACCGCTTGAAGACCTTGAAGCACGCCAAATCATTGTTCTCGGGAATTCCACGCCACGTATCCACCTGACTGCTGCGTCCTGACGATCTGGAATCGTGCCAGGACGCCAGTCATGGGACTTCAGCACTGCGAATCAACATACGTGTTGCACCCGCATAGTCCTGAATCCTTCCAGAACGAAATTTCTGGTGCGCTGATCATGCGAACCCGTGAAACTCTTTCAAATTCTGAAGACGAATGTGCGCGGCGCTGAGGCGAGAGCCACATTTTGAAAACGACCCGCCCTCAATCCGTGAAGCTCTTCTAAGTTTTTAAAAAGAATGTGCGCGGCGCTCAGGCGAGAGCCACATTTTGAAAACGACCCGCCCTCAATGCGTAAAGCTCTGATCATTTTTTCAAACGACGCTCAAGCGAGAGCCACATTTACCCGCCCTCAGTCCGTTAAGCTTTTGCATACTTTTAAAAGGAATGTGCGCGGCGCTGAGGCGAGAGCCACATTTTGAAAACCACCCGCCCTCCATCCATGGAGCTCTTGCACATATTTAAAACGAATGTGCGCGGCGCTAAGGCGAGAGCCACATTTTGAAACCGACCCGCCCTCATGTCGTGAAACTCTTGCAAATTGAAAGACGAATGTGCGCAGCGCTGATGGGGAGAGCCACATTTTGAAATTTACCCGCCCTTCATTTCTGAAGCTGATTCCATTTTTTACGCTTCCGACTCATAAATGGCAAGGAAGTCTCTGGCGAAACGCTCGGCCCGCCTTAAAAGCTGACCTCGGGATGGACAGGGAGAGTTTATTTATAAGGGAAAAAATGGGGGAGGGGAGGGAGAGGAGGAGGAGGAGGAGGAGGAGGAGGAGGAGGAGGAGGAGGAGGAGGAGGAGGAGGAGGAGGAGGAGGAGGAGGAGGAGGAGGAGAAGGGTGATGATGATGAGGAGGAAAAGGATGAGGAGGAGGAGGCGAAGGATAAGGAGGAGGAGGAGGAGAAGGACGAGGCGGAGGAGGAGAAGGAGGAAGAGGAGGAGGAAGAGGATGATGAGAAGGAGGAGGTGGCTCGACGCCAAGCTTGCCCGTGGGCCCAGAGGCCGGACGGCGGCGGGCCTCTCGAGCTGCTGCGTCCTGCCCTGCACGGCGCCGCGGGGGCCGCCGCCGCCGACGTTGCCCATCCTCGGGGTGGGGGGGTGGGGGTGGGGGGAGGAGGGGCTCGCGGCGGCGAGCGAGAGCAGGAGGAGGAAGAGAGATGATGATGCTGATGATGATGCTGCTGATGCTGATGATGATCATGATGGTGCTGATGGTGATGATGTAGACGATTCTGTTGCTGCTGATGATGCTGATACTGATGATGATGACGATGATGATGGTGATGATGCTGAGGATGATGACGATGATGACACTGATGATGCTGATTCTGATGATTATGATGATCCTTATGCTGATGCTGCTGCTGCTGATGATGACGATTCTGATGCTGAGGATGCTGGCTATGCTGATGCTAAAGATGATGATGATGTTGCTGCTGCTGCTGATGATGATGATGGCGAAAATGTTGATGATGATAATGATGCTGATGCTGAGGATGCTGATTGTTATGCTGATTAGGATGATGCTGCTGATGATGGACTTAATACCTATGCTGATGCTGATGATTATGACGATGGTGGTGATGATGATGATGCTGCTGCTGATGATGATGATGATGCTGATGATGATGCTGATGATGGTGATGATGATGCTGATGATGAAGAACAACGAGGAGGGGGAGGAGGAGGAGGAGGATTTTACCGCTACGCTGCTCTTCACGGCGTCCCGCAGTCAGCCTGGCACTGGGAGCCAGGCGGCCGTCGAGCACGGCACTTAAATGGCACAGATAAATCATGCATGCCATGAAACCTTATATCAGGGCTACGCCCCCGCGACACGAGACCGAGAGGCTGGGCCAGATACAGGCCTAGGAGGTATTAAAGAGACGAACAACACTGTTAGCGTCCGCATCAAGCCAGACGTCCGAGAACTTGGGGTGCTTGCCAGCCGGAATTCTGTCCCAATAATACTTAGAACACCTAATATTATGTGGCCTACCTGGGCACGGTTTAGCCAGGTAGCGAACGTAATTGCCAGTGGAAAACGCCTTACATCGGACACATACACAGACAATGCCGCCGTCCGAACACGCTAAACCAAGACAATTATGCTCCAGCTGCTGAAGGACGTCGAACTGGAGCTTCTGCTTCTTTGTGCAACTCGAATTATTCCGCGGGAAAGCCCCACGGCACACCGCGAGGCAATGATTACACTGCCAGAAGGTTCCCACCTTCTTCCAAAGATGGGGCACTTTGACTGGCACTGGTTTCGGCTCGACGGGCGCACGAGTGGCTACCGACAAGTCGAGCGGGGGCCAGAGAGGCAGCACACGGGCAGCCAAACCAAAAACCTTGCGACCGACCGACAAGCATTTCTCAAGCCATTCTTGCTGCTCAGGGCACGGCTTCTCGTGAGCTAGGGCCCCAAGCTTAGCATAGTGGTCGGCAAGGTCGACCCCAGTCTTACAGAACTTCAGATAGGCATCATTACCCACCTGCTCGTCCGACATGTGGCCTTTCACTGTATGGATGGGCCCCATTTGACTGTCTGCGGTCCAAACAAACATGCCCGGGTGCACTCGCTTATACGACAAGTGTTCACTACGAGGGAGGGCCCACAGAGAAACTACATTCTGGCAATCGCTATACCCCACCGCTGGAGAGACAGCATTTTGGCAAGCAGCAGTGCAAGCAGCAAATTCACCAGCCTGAGCCGTTTGGGGAATGGGGTAGGGGAGGGGGGCATAGACATGACCCAGCTCCTGCCCAGAATCGGACACCGAGACATAACTCCACCCTGTCCTCGATAATTCTCTTATGACCGAACGTATACAAGATCCATCCATGAAGAGATTCCCCGAAACAGTATAATCATCTTTATCAGGATCGTCAAACTGCTCATAAATGGGCTCGCACTTCGATGGGGGTGGGAAGATGTCACCAGGGTGGGTAAACAGCCCCAACGTGTACATTATCTTGTCAGCATCCGACAACGAGTCGTACTCCATCGGCCGAAACTGGAACCCTTCTCCGAGGATGTCCTCTCGGGCCTGGGCGACCGACTCGTGCTGGCAGCACCGCAACCTGTGGAAAATGGTGTCCCTTGCCACTTCGCACAACGGGCACAACGTGTCAGGCATGATGTGCCCGTGGTCCTCGGCTCGAGCCTTGGTCCAGGGCGCCTGGCAGACAAGACCTCTAATGCACCCTTTCTCGAAGGGAGTGAATTTTGAAGAACTCATGGCCGCAAGGGCCACGTCGAAACAGACGCGACGATCGAGGCCCAGGGACCGCCCATAATCACGTTCAAGATTCCTCAACACAGCAGCACGGGGGAGGCGTTTCAGGAGGCAAGGCGAAACCAGGGTAAGGGAAACTTCCACCCCCAGGTCGTCGACGAGCATGCTGAAGCTAGGCATCTTCCACCCACGACGCTCCACCGAGAGACGAAGGGCCCCCACAGGGCCGCGAACACGACGGAGAGGCCCAGAGAAACCCACAGCCCAGGCACCACGGAGCTCGGCCAAGCTGAGGCCGAACTGGTAAGCCCTCACCAGGCAGGCCCAGACCTCCTTAGACCACCTCACAATGGGCGCGACGGACGCGTACCAGGTGGGGTCGGCGGCAAACAGCAGAGCTGCCGTGAGAGATCTCCCTCCAGCGGAGGGTTGCAAGAAACGACCCATGGCTCTCCGCAGGGTGAAAAGCTCATGGTCCGATGTGCCGTGCACCTCGCAACCGTAGGTTCGGCTGGCAAGGGGCCCAGTCGTGAAAACCCGACGCGAGTGTCGACCGAGGGTTCTCTTGTGACGAGCAAGACGAGCGACCTTGGCCGAAAACAGGGTCTTACGAACCTTAAACCTTCCTCCACGACGAGCGACGCGGCGGTGCCTGCCAGCCGCATCGTCGATGCCGAGGTTGACAGCGGAGTCACACGGCGCTCCGCCCACCGTGCCAAGACCTTGGCGCACGGCCTTAGCAACAGCAGGATGTGAGGCGATAGCTGCCGCCTTCTTGACAGCGATCGCGCAGCCACGATCGCCCTCGATGACCACTTGCAATTTAATGGCCCCCATCCAGGAGGTCATTAACGACCGTCGGGGCGGTCCCTTGGCACGACAAGGTGTAATCATCGATATATATCTTCAAAGAGACCGATCTTGGCAAGCTAAGCCCATCTAAGGCGGCTAAGCTGAAGACACGGATTAAAGTGGTCGCGAAGCCGCGGCCTGCCACAAGACCTCGCCGTGCGAACTTGGGCCCGATGACCCTGCTGTTCATGGCGATGTAGCGGCAGGCGCGGTAAGCCTCGTCACAAACTCTCGCAATCTGCATGGGGAAGCCGTGCTGGCGGCAACGCTGCAACAGCAGATCCAAGTCGACCGATTCATAGAACTTGAGAAGATCCCAAAGCACCGAACTGGAACATAAATCGGACGAACCAGCTTTCTCACTTCGAACGCATTGCCGCCAGACAGTGTCCACGCTCGATGCAAAGGAGCCCGCGGCGAAGAAGTCCCTGCCGTTAGCCGCTTCCCACCTGCGAGCATACTCGCGACGAGCGCGGGCCCAGGGGCGATACGCTGACACGAATAATCCTATCGGTCTGTGACCACCGGCGGGCTTGGCAAGCATGATGAGCAGCAGCGCGCGCATCTGCATTGGTAAGTGCCCTGACTTCTCGAACGTGGCGATGAGGCGAGAGAGGGCGACAAGGGCCTGATCCGAGAGGTGCTGGAAGTGGCTAACATGGAAGCCGTCGACCGAGGTGGCCGTGTGCTTCGGGAAAGACCTAGAGACACGGCGGAGGAGGAGGAGGGCGAGAAGGAGGAGGCGGAGGCGGAGGAGGAGGAGGATGAGGAGGAGGAGGAGAAGAAGAATAATGCGGAGGAGGAGGAGGGGGAGATGGAGAGGAGAGGGAAGATGGGAGGGGGGAGGATGACGAGGAGGAGGAGGCGGATGATGATGATGATGCTGGTGATGAGGAGGAGGGGGGGAGGAGGATGAGGAGGGGGAGGAGGAGGATGGGAAGGAGGAGGGGGATGGGGGAGGATGAGGATGGGGGAGGATGAGGAGGAGGAAGTGGAGGAGGACGAGGATGGGTAGGCGGAGGCGGAGGAGATGGTGGGAGAGAACGATGATGAGGAGGTGGAGGAGGGGGATGAGGAGGAAGAGGAGGATGAAGAAGATGAGCAGGATCAGGAGGATGAAGAGGCGGATGCGGATGAGGATGAGGATGCGGATGCTGCTGCTGCTGCGGATGGTGCTGATGATGCTGCCGATGATGATGATGATGCTGTTGATGATGATGCTGCTGATGCTGCTGCTGATGCTGCTGATGAAGATGCTAATGCTGCTGACGTTGCTGCTGCTGATCATGATGGGGAAGCTGCTGCTGATACTGATGATGCTGGTGATGATGCTGAGGATGCCGATGCTGATGCCGAGGGTGATGATGATGCTGCTGCTGCTGATGATGATGCTGACGATGATGAGGAGGAGGAACAGAAGGATGACGATCGCCATACAGAATCTTATTCTGATGACCAGGGGGGGGGACTGAGACGGAGGGGGAGGAGGAGGAGGATGAAGCTGAGGAGGGGGAGGATGAGGCTGATGATGATGCTGCTGCTGATGATGATGATGATGCGGAGGATGATGTGGAGGCGGAGGAAGAGATGGAGACGGAGGATGATGCGGAGGATGAGGAGAGAACTGCAGAGGATGTGGAGGAGGAGTAGGATAAGGAAGAGACGGAGGATGAGGCGGATGAGGAAGGGGAGGATGATGAGAAGGAGGAACAGGAGGAGGAGACGAAGAATAAGGGGGATGTCGACGATGGGGAGGAGGAGGGGGAGGAGGAGGAGGTGGAAAAGGACGAGGAGGAGGGGTGGGGGGGGGATGAGGCGGAAGAAGAATGGGAGAAGGGGAATAACGATACCACGGAATATAAAGAGGAGGGGGAGTAGTAGGAGGAGGAGGAGGGGAAGGAGGAGGAGGAAGCGGAGGGGGAGGATGAGGCGGAGGAAGAGAAAGAACAATATGAAAGAATGAGGAAGATGAGGAAGAGGAGGAGACGGAAA